ATTCTTGTGCAAGAACCTGCATTCAGACAATACATGGCAAATTGAATTTGAGTTGAAGTTTACATGAACTAGGAAGCTGTCAGCGGCTCTCAGCACATAAAGGGAAGAGGAGAGAGAGAAGATGGAGGTGGTACGTGAGCATGACCAACAAGCCACATCCAGTCCTGCCATGAACAAGCAACATCTTTGTGCAGCCCATGTGTGCTTAACAGATTACAGTAATTCTGTTGCCTTAGGAAAGGAAGGTAAATTTCTGTTGAAATCTGTAGTGTTACTACAATATTTCAGTTGACACATTCTTCTTGGTTGAGTTCATATATTTCCAAAGTATACAAAGAGACAAAAAAACTGTGCCAGCTTTTAAGTTTGCCACAATTTTTCATGAGCTGGAAGTTAAAAAAAAAGAGGTGGAGGGAGAAAAATAGACGTTTCCAGCTATGATTTTAAAGGCCTTTTCTCACCAGCATCCCTGTGCTCAATGCCAGAAGAACATGAATTGACAAGAGACTTTACATATGGGATTTACCCATAACATGAGGTAAAACTACCTTATTTGGGTAATATATATATATCTATTGGTCTACTGGCAAGTATAGGTCTATTTTCCCACTGGTGCTGATCCTTCATGGCTTATTAAGAATAACTTTGCCAATCAGGCCCTAAACCAAGAATAAGAATGCACATTACTCAGTCCTGGATCCAATTCATAGCTAAAAAGGATTTGGCAGATTAATTACTTATAAAACTAGACAACTCTAGGAACAAAAAGAATTTTTAAAAACTCTTTGCATGAAAACAAGATGCCATACACAAGAGCCATGTGCTTCTGGACACCTATTTATATCTTCCTTGTGGGCAGGCACTTGCAGAAAGGTTTGTGATCATTATTATGAAGTAACGCAACTCTCCAAAAGCAGAAGAAATGATCAATTCAGGACCCACATGCCCTGAACAAAGAGGACGCTTAGGTAGTCCGAGTTGCAGACAGCCTTCACTTCTCTTCCACCTGCTTCTCATGGATGAGAGCCTCCCCTGAGAGCAGAAAAATAGGCACGCAGAATGGTTTGGAGGTACAGGGTGTGCTACAGAACTATATACCCATGCTGGAGCATAAATATGCTCATTGGGATTTACAAAACATGCCAGCAAATGAAGTCATTTAAAGAAATATTCACCTGCTTTCCATCAATTTCTGTCACTTCTTCCTGAACGACAATCAACTGCAAGTTGGAGCTGGATGCCAATGGCCATTCATGGATCATAATGCGAACACTAACAATTCCTAATCGCTTCTGATTCAGTAGGCTGTCGGCATTCCCACTCTCCACTATCAACAATAAAATTGCATGTCACAGAGCGGTCATGCAGAAAGGCATAATCTCCAAATACAAGTTACATATAAAACTGTGACTTATGCCTTGCAGGTGGGATCCTGACCCACTCTACAGAATAGTTTGGGAGCAGTATTACTCATTACCAGGTTCAAGAGACACAAGAGTGTGCAAACACAAATACCTGACATTTCCAAAACCCAAATGGAAACCCAGCAGCCTTCCCTATCCCAATGGGGGTGCAGCAATTAAGTTCAACATTGTATACTCATTTCTGCCCTTGTAGGCACTGTGGCCTTAAGTAGCCATGAACAGAACTAGGATGGAGTTCATGGTAGTAAACAAAATGGTAAGGCTGAACCACAAACAAACAAAGACAACAAGAACTGCAGAAGGCAACAGCTTGTGAACACAGCACTCTGGTGGAAATGCTTCTGGGTGGGAGAAAATGTGCTGAAATACTGGCATTTTTTAAAAAAACTGGCCATTTTAAAACATCTTCAGTTTTACAGATTCTGCTGACATTTTCAACTGGGGGCTCCCAATGGCTGTTACCAGATGGTACAGTATGGAAGGGAAGCAATAGCCAGTACTGAATGCCAAGAGCCAGTTTGGTATAGGAGCATGGACTCTAATCTGGGAGAACTGGGTTTGATTCCCCACTCCGCTACATGCAGCTGCTGATCATTGGGTCAGTCACAAGTTCTTTCAGAGCTGTTCTCTCAGAGCTCTCTCAGCCCCACCTACCTCACAGGGTGTCTGTTGTGGGGAGGGGAAGGGCAAGAGATTGTAAGCCACTCTGAGACTCCTTCAGGTAGTTAAGGGTGGGGTATAAATCCAACCTCTTCTTCTTCTACCTTATTTCTGTCTTTCTCCTCCTCCTATAAGCACGCACATTTCAGTAGCAGAACCGTTCTTGTCACTACCTTTATTCTGCGAGCAGATTCAGAATGATCATCCTGATAGTGCCATCCTAAGCACGGTTACAACTTTCTAAGTCCATTGACTTAGGTTGCAACTCTGTTTAAGATGGCACTGTGAGATTCACAGCTTTCACTTTAAAAAGAAAGCAGCGAGTCCTGAAAGCTTGCGAGCAATTCCTTGGAAGCTAAAGGAGGAGATCAACAGGGCTTCCAGTGGACAAAGGGGCAGGCTTCAGCACCCTGAACTGTTTACTGCCCCTCCTTATAACAAGACAAAACTAGGCAAGATAAAGATATGCACATACATGTTCTTAATGTGCATAAATTATGTGGGTGGCATACTATTTCTGGGCACAGAATTTGGGTTCCCTTGATATAGAATTTGATCCTCCCCCCCAGATATGAGCCAAAAGGATACACGGTCCTGCATGCAGGTCTGCAGCCATGCGGGCAGCATAACACGAATCCTCCACATTGTTCAGTGAGTGTTCGTTACAGTCATATGGATGTTGTTAGAAACCATCTGTACTCTCATTGTGCAGATGACAAAACTGGTAAGGTGGTGGTAACTAACACACTGTTAACCACATGCAGGACAATCACTAATACAGTCTCTGTTTTCCTAAATAATGGCCTGTATTCCTAGTTTGCAAAATCATTATTAAATATAACAGGGGGAGGGAACTGGTCTCAGAAGAAGCACATCTTCCAAGCCCAGATCCCAAGAATCCTTAGGCAGAAAGGCGCAATCTCCTTCTTACCAGAAGGATGGAGGTGTGGGGGGGGAGGGTACAGTGGAACGTGGACTCAAACATATGCATGGCTAAAGTGATGCTTCCCTGTCCCAGGATCCTTTCAGAAGCAAATCTTCCTGAAATTTCTAGTGTACGGATTTCCAGAGAGATTTCTAGTGTATAGGATTTCACTTGAAGCCAATGCTTCTCCCTCCTCCCTTAAACCCAACTCTGGTTAGAAGCAAGACACAGACTAACTGCTTCACTTCAGTGCAACTACCTACCCTAGCTGGCTGATGGCTGGTACCTGTGTGCCGCCAGGGATATTCCTTGCTAGCACAAGGGCAGGCACACATGTGCAACTCTCAGCCCCTTTCAGTTTTTGGGATGGGAGCAGGGAGGTCATTCTTATTTTATTTTGTTTGCTACTGTTGTTACAAGGAGAGGAAATCTCTACAGAGTCTACCTTCTCCTTCCCAGACTTTCCGCCATTTAGGCACAGTGGATGTCTGCTTGAGGACATGACACAAAAAGGGTTTATTTAGGGAGTGACACCATGCACACAATTAGAAGGTCTCAGAAACTTGTAAAAGAAACTGGAAGCAAAGCCAACAAAAGCAAAAAGCCGGGCCCTACAATTGTTTACATCTTTATGTCTCACCTTTGCTCAAGGAGGCTTACAAGCCATAATTTAAAACATACAGAATAAATTACTGTATTTTTTGGACCATAAGACTCACTTTTTCTTCCAAAAAAAGTGGGAGGAAAAGTGAGTGCGTCTTATGGACCGAAGGTTTAGAATATTTTTTTCCCTGTTTTTCTCCTTTAAAAACTAGGTGCGTCTTAAGGTCAGGTGCGTCTTATGGTCCGAAAAATACGGTAAATCCTAAAATAAAATCCCCAGTAATGCTCCTTCCCCCACATTACATCAATACAGTGATGTCTTCTGATAGAATTGATTGCATCTGAAGGAAATGCACTTAGAGCCATCCCCAAACATCTCACTGAGTTCAAGAGAACTTCCTCAGAATATATGGTTAAGATTGCAGCCTTTACAATCTACACTCATGTTAAAGTATATTTGCATCAAGCCATGTTGAGCAACTGCTGGTGTCCCGAAAGAAAACTGTGCTTATTAATGTATAATGTTTTAGGCTTTCAAAAGCCAATTTTAAAAACACATTAGCATGTCCTTAGCACAAAAGCTGATCATAAAGGATAGATGATCTCAGAAGCTAACCTTGAGACTGGCCATAACCAGTACATCAAGAGACAGCTTTGTGCAAGAAATAAAAAAAGTTCAACGGCAAGTAATAGCTCTGGCCTTATTAATTATGTAAGACACTGTGTGTATCCCCAAACACAACATTTCTGTACAACAGAAAACAGTATAGTGTCTCCCGTATCATATATGCAATATTAATTTTTACCATTAGTAGACAACACTACTCTTTAAGGACATTCAATCCCAATACAGATAGAATTTAAACTAAGAAAATTTCAGAAAAGTAATGTTTTTCAAAGATTATCCAAAAGGCTCTTGCAATTTTATATATGTTCTTTCTCCTACACCCTTTTCCTTTGGACATGTGCCAGGTTAAGAGAGGAGGCGGCCAAGCCTTATCAGGGTGGAGTCACATCCTTGAATTTAGACTGCCTGGTCTGTTGCCTTCCACAAACAAACGAAGCGGCTCTCATGAAGTCAGAATTTGATCTGAGTTTGTATGTGTCTCTCCCCTCCCCACTGTGAGCAAGGACATCTGATTTTGTCTTTCTTCGATTTTAAATGTACCCAACTTGTAAAACGGACAGGAAGCTTTGTGGAACCTTACAGACTAATGAACTTATTGTGGCATAAGCTTTTGTGAGACAAAGCCCACTACATGAGAAATATCTAACACAGTGGGCTTTCCCACGAAAGTTTATGCCACAATAAATTCCTTAGTTTTTAAGGTACCATGAGGCTCCTTAAGTACAATCCTATGCAGTTACTCCAGTCTAAACCTATTGAAAACAATGGGTTTAGACTGAAGTAATTCTGCCCAAGATTGCATTATTTGTTATTTTGACTGCAGCACACTGACGTGGATTGCCCTCTGGCATTAGATGTGCAAGGAGTATAATGCCACTTATTCATTACAGCATTTTCATTATCGGTGGATCACATGGAAGCACACAGCTCAGATAAAGAATTAAGCGATACTCACATATCAAAGTCTGGCACTTTATCCTGGTAACCCCACTCTTCAGTGGAAAGTCATTTACATACACTTGGCCATTAACATAGGTGATATTAAGGACAACCTAAAGAATATAACAGGATGCATAAATACATTAAATACACACATTTGCCAACACAAGGCAGGGAGGGTTGGCTAATCTACGTAAGTCATAACGACAACCATCAGGCATAAATGAAAGAAACTAAACTTTTAACCAATTTTTCAAAATCTATATACCCATAACAATAACCAGAAAAATAAATTCATTTAAAAGGTTGAAATTCATGCCACACTGAATTCAGCATCGAAACTCTCAGAAGTGTTAGTGGTTGTACCCATGAAACTTCAAGAGTCTTCCATGAAAATAATATAAGCTATAAAACCTGTATGAGAGGCAGGGAGGTCAAGTGGACAAAGCTCTAAAGGAGTTACACCTCAGTTCAGATTCCAGCCCTGGCATGAACACTGCAGGCAGCCCACTATTTCTCAGCCTCAGTTATGGTCTTTAAGGTAGGAACAGTCAGCTTCCAGGGATCTAAAGATAAATACCCTTGTAACTGCTGATAATTTTTTTAAAATAAACCCTATTAGCTTTGGGGGTGGGGGACAGGTTATTTGCTGAAAGGAATTGTCCCCTGGACTATTCATGCAGTCTTGCAAAGTGTTTGGTAAATTTACAGTGGTCTTAAAATCATACATATGTACCATTTCTACTGATGGATCACAATTAATAAAGGGGGGAAAAGACTTTTCACTCAGTTTTTATCCCACCCTTCTTACAAAGAGCTCAGGGTGGCAGTGGCGGGGTGTTCTTCTCTCCTCTCAACTTCATCTTCATAACAATCCTGCGAGGTAGATGAGGCTGGGAAAGTATCCCTGGGCAGAGATCATCCAATGAGCTTCAAGACTGAGTGGGAATTTGCAGTTGGGTCTCTCTATTCCTAGTCCAATGCTCTGACCACCTTATGGCAAGTATAGCAAGATTGACATACCTGTCCTTCCTGAAGGTCCCCGTTGCTCTGCAACATACTAATGTTAATCTTGATTCTTTCCTGAAAGATGGAAAAGAGAGGAAAGAACTGTGAAGGAAAGAAAAAAGTGCCTCAGAACGGAAGTCACTTGGCACATAAACCACATTCTTGCTTTAAGCTCGAAAGCAATGAGAGCAGAACAAAAATCACAAGCCAATCTCTAACAAAGGAGTACAATCCAAAGTATAAACACTTTATCATAACAATGATTACAAATCTGTATGATACAAGCAGGGGTCATTTCGTAGAAAAAGAGCTAGGGGAGCTCATTAGCATATACCACACCCCATGACATCACCGGAAGTGTGTCATAAGGCCACACCCCCTGAAATCACCAAAAGTGTGTCATAAGGCCACACACCCCGCCCCCAACGGTCCCGGCCGTCACCGCCGGCCTTGCAGCTCCACTGCCGAGCCCCATGAGGGGCCCGGCGGTGGACCTGCAAGGCCGGCGGGAGTGCAAGGAAGCCCTGTGAAGGCCCTCCATGGCCCCAGGCAGGCAGGGGTGGGGAGAGGCAGGGAGGAAGCAACTTACCCTCCCTCTTCTCCTGCCTCCTCCTGGCTGAATGAGGGCCGGAAGCGGGGCAGCCGGAAGCAGGGGGCGGGGCTTCGTCATGTGCCCCGTCCCCAGTACCTCACCCCCCCCCGAAATGACCTCTGGATACAAGTATTTGTCTGTATTTATAATTTGTCTGTATTTATAATATGACGGGAAGCAGCATATATATTACAAAACATATATTTTTTAAAGTCTATATTAAGGAACATTATCTACAGAATGACCGGAGGGAAGTTTTTCCTGGTAGTGCTTAATAACCCTTCAACTGAAAACTCCTGTGCCTTCTCATCATAATTGCAATAGATCCCACAGTGTTTGCTTTGTGACGAAATTGACTGGCTCAAATTAATGGGCCAATAGGGAATGGGGGCAGATGTGGAGCGTTTGAAAGCTCAGGGACATTGCGAAAGGAGGGAAAATCTGCCTTGTGTAACAATTTGGAAAAGACACCAGAACTGTGCAGCAGTGATCATGTATGAGGAATTCATCAGAAGCAAATGACACAATTTCTGGTATCTTTCAAGGATCTTTGGAGCCCTTGTAGCTTACATTTTTTGAGAAGATAAATTTCTTCTTAAATAGAGATGTAAAATTTCCGGAAATTTTGAAGCTCGGAGACTGCAGCCCCCTGTTGCTTCTTGCCATGCCTAAAAGAGATTTTTTTCTGTGATGCTTAGACAAACTACTCCAACCATGTATCAGGCCTATGAGCCAAATCATAAGAAGAGCCCTGCTGGATCAGACTAGTGGTCCATCTAATCCCACATCCAGTCTCACACAATGGCCAACCAGTCACTCTGGAGGGCCAACAACGAGGCATAGAGGCCAAGGCCTTCCCTTGATGTTGCCTCCTGGCACTAGGATTCAGAGGCTGACTGCCTCTGAACATGGAGGTTTCCTTTAGTCACCAAAGCTAGTAGCCTCCGTGAATCAAACTCAAGCACCTCTGCAGGAAAACAAACTGCCTTAAAGCCTTTATGTGATCCCTGGCAAGCCAAGGCATTAACGATTCATCACAGCTGTTTGTTCCTTTTGCCCCCAATGCTTATGCCAACAACATTTGTTACATTGGTAGAGACCGTTCAGGAATAAAGGCTTCCTTTACAGCTCTCATACCAGTTCTGTACTTCTCCCCTTCTTCTAAGGATTGCAGTCTGCACAGTCAGGGGAAATATTTCAGCATTTTCCTCTACTGTATTTCTTGAAAGCAGTGATCTTTTCTGCAATGAAGATGGGACCAGGTGCAGCAGATAAATGGGAGCAAATAAGTCAGGAATTCTCCAGACTCTTATCCCTTCCTTCCCTAACTTATAAGAAAACCTGCTTTTGGCTCTGAGAAGGGAAATTGTTGCAACATCTTGTACAAACAACTTGTAAAACTAAATCCTCAAAAACCAGTACAAAAAACAAAAAAATGGAAGAGGCTAATAAATGCACCTTTGTGGAAACTATACACAGTAAATTTCTCCAAATACACAGCGTTCAAAACCGAGGGTCAAATGTAAAAGCATACTTTTCGGCTGTTCGTGACACAGGCTCTGTTTGAGAACTCCCCAAGGCATTAGCTGGGAAACTGAAAGCAGTCCTAAGTGCTTTTAAGTTATGGTGCTCCAAAACCATCACTGCACTTTGACATTTCAAATAAACACAGATATAACATAAAACACTTCAGGGTAACTTCCACAAATCACATAATGCATCAACAAGCTCCCTATCTGCCCTTCTCTGTTTCCCATTTGAAAGCTCTTTTGCTGTTGTTTATTACCTTATCAGTAAAGATCTGAATGCAGAAATAGATAAGTGAGTGACAGTCTCTTAACACAGTGGAGATGTGTTATATCAAACATTCAATCTCAACTGATCAAAGTCATCATTTTATAAATAAATGACAGAAGTGACTATACTTACAGGAAACCACTAGGCTGTTTTGAAAATATATGTATACTATCTCCATTCAGTCTCTTGCAACAACACATTCTTCTTCACTCAGCAATCACATACCCAAACTGCACAAGGCCTGACACTACTCCTTATGCAACTCTGCACATATACTAATACACAAATCGTCCCTTCATTTTATTTTTTTAAAATAAAAAGCACAACTCCACATCGAGTCTACATTCCTTGGCCTTTCATACAGATACACCATAATGGCACAATGATGCCTCCTATACAGTTCCCCCCTCCACATATTTGCCACAAACACACACTTGGCACTTCACAGAAGACACAACGCAACCGCTGTTCCCACATATACAGCCGTTACAAGCAATCAGGCTAAATCAGTAGGCAGTCTTAGGTGCCCTCTTCACTGGACAAGCCTTCAGTTCCCTCCGCTGGCTCGTTCTCAAGGTATATCTGGCTCCGCTCGGGAATGATCTTTTTCTGCGCCGCCGCCGCCGCCGCCGCCCCCCGCGCGAATGACAGAGGACCTTTCCTTTCCAACGGACAAGCAGGGGGGCAGAAGCACCAGAAGAAGCAAGCCAGGGAGCGGCCAGAGGGCTTCGCGTGGCCCCAGCGCCGCCTCCATCTTGGGAGCCAGGAATTAAAACAAAGTGAAACATCAACAAAGCAAGAGGCGGCGATAGGCGGAGCAGAAGCGGGGAGGAGTCCCGGCGGCGGGGGCGGAGGGAAAAACAACCGGGAAAGACGCAGAAGAAGCAGAAAGGAGATGCCGACGGCGAAGCTCGTGGGAAAGTGAGGCAAAGAAGGGTCGTTGCTCGCTCAGAACGAAGAGAAGCCTTTTTCACGAAGAAATCACGACCTCAACAGATCAGGCCTTTCCTCGACCAACAGAAATTAAAATAAAGCGATGCGTTGTGATCTCGTGCACGTTTACTAGGTAGAATCGCTCATTCTCCCTACAAAAAGTGTGCATAAGAAAGCTGTGGCGGGGCCCAATCCTATTCATGGGGCTGGTGTCAGCATCCCCTGGGGGGCAGCAGTTGCCCAGGCTTCTCCCCTGTCACCTGTCAGCCTCTCCCCCTCCATCCCTCTCTTCATTTACTTATTAAAATACTTTATCGCACCTTTCCCATTGGCTCAAGGCATTTTGCAGTTTGCTTGAAGTGCTGCCATTAGAGGAAAGCCTGAGCTGGGCATAGCGGGGGCAGTCCTGGTGGCCCTGGCAGCAGCACTACCAGCTGAATACACCCACTGATGCTGCCAGGAAAAGGATGTGTAGTGGTGCAGGCAGCTAAGCATGGGTGGTGGTGGGAGGCTGTGAGCAGAAGGATGCACAGGCAGGTGGGGTATCTAGAGGAAGGCATGAGGTGATTGGCAGACAGGGGCCCTCCGAAACCAGCCCTGCCTTTTCATATTCCTGGCTGACACAGCAGGATGCACGAATCTAAAATAAACAGATGTTCAGTCAGAAATAAAAAGCACTTCAGTGGACAGGTCAAAAAAAGGATTCGTCTATATGCAGCACAACCCTGCCATCGAGTTAGTCTATGTGCAGCACAATCCTGCCATCGATTGGGAGGCAGATCAATATGTAGCTTAGTCCTACAGGGTTAGATCTGACTGGGGACAAAGGAAAGCCTAGCTCTCTATAGCACTCAGCTGCAAGAAGAAATTGGTCACCAATATCCTAGGTCTCTCAACTGGAAAGAGAAGGAAATTAATTTTTTGGGGGGGAGGGGGTTTACTGCCCAGAAGAAAAGGTTCTTACTCACTTTATGATCTAGAAGTCTGTTCAGTTAAAGCCCATTTTGAAAATCTGTAGAGTTAATGAATCTTTGATGTGACTGATGCTAATGATGCCTCTTAAACCATTTTGTTCTGTCAGTTTCAGGCCTGCTGGGAACCCTTTCTATCTGTTTCGTGAGGGATGTGTTCTGACATAAAGTTCCAAGCTGTATGACTGCTTAGCGAGCACCTCTGTGACTTCTCCAGCTTCTCCCATTTTCTATAACAGACTAGGCTGTACTTTGCCTACCATCTGGGTCCTCTGTTAAACACACCTGTTTCTCCTGGAACAATTTCTAGTAAATGGCAGAAGGACTGAACTACTGGCTACCCACTCTTTATGAGATTCTTTTACTCAGGCAGACAGACACATGAGTAATAGGTGCATGAGCAACAGAAGGTGCAGTTTGTCTCTATAAAATACATGAATGAGGAAGTGCTCCAATGCTGGTCAATGGCCATGTCCACTTTAAAGTAGAAAGCCATATTAATAATGCACATGCTGTCCATAACTAAAGCACTACACATTTATTTTCCTCCCAGAACATCTGTGGCCAAGTACAAAGCATCTTGTAGTGAGCAATCCTGAGCCACAGTAATTTTTTAACACCCAGCTGTCACATAGGGACACATTCTGCTTTAAGGTAGAAATGTGTTCCTGCCCCGTTAAGTTCTGCGCTTCTACCAGTGTTCCCTCTAAGCTGAGTTAGTGTGAGCTAGCTCACTGTTTCTTAGCCTCCGGCTCAGAGATTTCTGTCTTCGCTCAGGAAGGATGGCTC